GTCACCTGAAACCCTTTCACATGGATTACTGGGATGTTAGAGATGAGCTGCAGTCTAGTACATAAAACAACATACAATCCTTCCTAGCATTTGTCATCTTCGTCATCACTCTTGTGTTGGACTGCTGGAAGGTAGAAACCATCCCCACAGTATATTGCTCTGTTACTACCTTAGAGAAAACGAAGTGTCCTTCAACAGATAGAGAAAAAACACCGTCACTGACAAAAAAACACACAGACCCAAAAAAAACCGCAACAGCCGTCAACATACCTCACACAGGGTGTGAGCACATAGAGGTGCAAATCTGGTTCACGTTAGCCAGTGGATTTAAAAGAAAAAACTACAGCTACTGTGTCGTGAGTTGGCTGTTTGTTACATGAAATCTGTTTTGTCACAGTAGCACAGCGATGACCCAGATATAAAATACCCACTGATATTTAAAAATACTGTATTTGAACATAAGTTTCCACTGTGCTGTTTTGTTTTCCAGGCTTAGATTCTGGTCACGTTATCGCCTAAGTGTTTCTGTCTCCCATCTTTTTAGGGCTCTTTCCCAGCCAGCCAGACTTCCAGCCAGACTGAAGGGCTGTCAGTAATCAGCCATGAAGACGTGATTTGGTTTGGGTGAAAAGCCCCAGCTGCACACATGGTCTGGTGTACCACACCAGTCTACACTGTGATGTGTTAAAAAAACCTAAAGCTTTATGTTGCTGTATCATTTCAAGGCTTGAGCAGCTTTGGTGCTTTTTGTGCAGGGGAAGGTTGAGAATAGAACTGTGTGTGTTCATTGCTTAGTGCAGTGAACTTCAGCCCCTGATCTTGAGTTTCCCCCCTGAGAGGGAGTGAGCATGATCACAGTGGGAAGAGTTAGTACAGACTGGCAAAGGCTGCTAAAGGGAAGGCTGGGTTCTGTCTCTTAATATATTCTTTTCCTGTACAGTCTTTTTCAGCTAGAATCTGACATGGTGCACGAATTACTGGTAGTATTCTGTTTTTAAGCAGGCAGCCAGAAAAATGCGTACACATTACTGTGGGTGTCTGTATGTCTTGCAGTTGTTGAATGTGAATATTGCAGTATTCTAGATTAGGCTGGTTTAGTGCTTAATTTGCAGATAGAAAACTTGAGGTATCCCTTGCAAAGTTAAAAGATCAGTCTGTCATTCACATTAGTTATCATCTCAGGCTCTTCTTGCCCCGTTGTGATGGGGTTTTTCCCTTCGTCTCAGTCATCGCTGAAGTTCATACATGAGAATTTTCCAGTTGTCTTGAAGTGCTGGATGTCCTTCTTGCCCCAGGGAATGGGGGATGCTTAATCCCTTTGAGAACCAGACTGTGAACTTGCATATCTAGTTAAGCGTTTGTGGTCAAAGTTGGTAATTTGCAAAACTTGATGGTGAGCCTGCAGTAGAGGTAGCCAAACTCCTTGTGCTTTCCCATTTTGCGTCAAATTTGTAATCGGGAGCCATTGGATCCTCTCTTTGAATGGTTACCACAAGCAAGTAAGAAATCCATTACTTGTTGATTTCAGATTAAGCTCACCTTTGGTCTGTTTTGCAAAAATCCTATTCAGAAAAGTTTCGTGCTAAGGTAACTGTTACAGTATGGTAATGTGTGTTAGTAAAAAACTGCCTCCTACTCCATTTTCTCATGCTCATTCTGCACTATCGGTTGATGCCAGTAGGAATACAGCGAGGCAGGTTTGCCTCCATCACGACCATGCCAAGGAAGACATGAGAATAGACGGTGGGACATTTCTCAGGGTTCTAATGGACTGTAACCCTTGTGTGTTACAGGGCAACGTCTATGTCAAATGTCCTTCAATTGCTGCTGCCATTGCAGCTGTAAATGCGTTGCATGGGAGGTGGTTTGCAGGTGAGTGGATTTCACAGAGACACCTACACTTATTCATTACAGGAATGACCAAGTACTGTTTTTTGTTTTTTGTTTTTTTTTTTTTTTTTTTTTTTTTTTTTTTTTAATCTTGTGATTAGGTAAAATGATTACAGCAGCATATGTACCTCTTCCAACGTACCATAGCCTTTTCCCAGATTCTATGACTGCAACCCAGCTACTGGTTCCTGTTCGACGATGAAGATGGATTTAGTCAGTTTTGTACATAGTTATTTTTTGGAGGAAGATTGAGTTATCTTTTATTTAGATAAAACTAAAGGAAAGGATTTAATGTCATTTTGTGTACACTTCCTGCTACCTTTAAAAATAAAATGAATTAAGCAGAAATGCAGTGTGTTCATTCTCCCTAACTAGCATTTCCACTGTATACAAAGCTGTTGACTTCTTGTTCTGCCTTGTAATTCTTGTACATTTACTAAGGTGATCTGTAGGAACTGAGAAGTAGCTCATAGAAAACAAGTTCTCTGTAAAAGGCAGATGGGACATAATGACATTTTTAATGTTTCACAAGCCTTTCTTTTAATGCAGCAATTATATTTTACATTTCACTAAATGTAGGTGATCTGCTAAAGGTTAATATCGGAGATAGACTTTATGAAGGGACATATTTAGTGTTTTGTATAAATGGAAAATTGTAAAGGCTACTGAAAGCTGACTGTAGACGGCCACTCAGCTTGCTTTGTGCTGAATAATTGGTAAGAATAGAAAGATTGAAGGGTTTTATTTCTTGATGGTAATTTTTGATTAATGTATCTGTAAAAGTTTCTTTGTAAATACTGTGTGAGGTGTGTCTAAGTTTCCAAACAAAACGATCTCTGCATTTCCAGTTAAGTTTCTATGTATGCAGTGTGGCACAGTTGAAGGATTTCAGCCGAGTCTGAAAATTGGTAGGAAATACAGAAACGTGTTTTGTTCTGGTTGCATATAATCTTTGCTCTTTTTAAGCTCTGTGAGCTCTGAAATATATTTTTGGGTTACTTCAGTGTGTTTGACAAGACAGCTTGATATTTCTATCAAACAAAGACTTTCATATTGCAACAATCTTTGTAAGAACCACTCAAATAAAATTCTCTTAAAAAGGCCTTCATGAAGCTTTATTTCTCCACTCTCCTAATGCGCATGAAGCAGTGTGTGCTGAAGACTGGAGGTGAGCAGGAGATGTTTGGAATACGACTCCTCTAGGAGAAAGTGCAGGAGCCAGTTCCTGCTGCTTTGAACCCTCTGTGTTACGCAGCCATGGTTGTTGAGGGCCTGGGGGTTTTCTTGCTGCCCGGGCAGCGGATGGTTGTTTGGGGTTTTTTTTGCCCTTTCTCAGATTGACTCCAGAGACAACATCCCCCCTGCCCACCTCCACACCTGCCTTTCACAAAGGGTTGTGAATTGTGGGGATGTGGGAGTAATTTATGTTGGCTTTTAGTCCAGTTTCTGTAGGGAAGCGTGCCCCAGGGGATCGCCCTCTGAGTGCCCCTTTCCCACCTCCCTGCCCTTTGTGACCACTGGCTAATAAAAGCTGTGTTTGACAACAGTGGAGAGAGCGGGTTCCACCCTGGTGGGTGACAGTGGGCTGATGAGGGATGCTGCCAGTGCTCTGGGACAGAAGGTGGTGGTGACTTGGCTTCCAGGTAAGAGGGTGTCCAGCAATCCAGGAGGGAGCTGTGGGAGGAAACGGGTAGTGCAAAGGCAAACATGGGGAGGAGCCAGGAACAGACTACAGAACGGGGTAACAGCACAGCTGAAGAAAGCCAAGCAAAGCTGCTCTCCAGTTTTGTTTGACCTTATTTTTTTAGTTGCAGCATTAATTCACTGGTGCCAGCTGGAGGAAAACCTGTGTGCTTCCTGAGTAGCCATGTTGCTTGACTTGGGGGTTGTCAGCAGTTTCTCCAAGGTCATTGAGCTGCATGACAGCAGAGAGCAGACTTTTAGTGGCAGATTTGTTTCTCCCTTAAAATCAGAAACAGCACTTGCAATAAGTAATGGTTGTACAGGTGCTGGTTCAGGTTCTGCTGCTGCTTACGTGTCCTATCCTTAAGCAGACATAAAGGAGGAGCAAAGACAAGCCTTGTTCTAAAAGGCAATTAACAGAAGATTGCAGCACTAAACCTAGTTTGGCTGCAGTGGCTGGTGAAGGGCAGGGAGTAATTCCCTGTTCTCCCCAGGAGGCGTTGAGCATCTTGCAGACCTGTTAAGGCAGACTGTAGGAAAAGACTCCGTTTCTGGTAGCACAGCTCCTACAGCTGAAGCCCCTTCCCTTGCTGAGGGAATGAAAAAAGCCATGGCAAGTTCCTATGGCTGGAGGCAGCTGCAACTACCGCTCTGCACTTGCCATCTCTGCAATGGCTGTACAGCGGAGTGTAAGACTGCTTCCTTCAGAGCTGGGAAGAGGCAGTGTAGATAATGCAGTAGCTTGCAGCACAGCTTTAGGAAAGGCATTGTGCAAGGCCTGACAGGGAAGTTAAATCTTCCCCCTCTGGTGTCGAAGTCATCCTTGTGATTCATCACAAAATACCTTCAGCTGTCATGTGACCAGAGCAGTTTTCCATTTGCCAGCAATTTTATGTTTTCCAGCTCTAGTAGCGTGGCTGTAACTGTTCTGTGCTGTTCCTTGACTGCTTCCTGCACCCATGTGCTGCCAGGCTGGCTGGCAGAAGCTGCCAAAGCTGCTGTAGCTTGCCCTCAGTTGCAGAAGGACTTGCCCAAGTCCTTCTGAGGTCCCTTGCTCTCTGTGAGGGCGTTTGCACCAAACTACCTGAAACTCAGAAACGGGGCCAGTTTCAACCCATCTAGTTTTGCAAGAGGAGAGAAATATGCTGGTTTGATAGTTAGATCTGAATTAGCCACAGAGACTCTCCTGGGCTCAGGAATACACAAATGCAATGGGGCAGCTCCACATCGTGTTGGGAATGTGAGCTGCCCACATACCAAAGGGAGAAATGTGTGCACTGTACTTACGTCTGAAATAAGAACTTTAATGCAGTACAAAGGATTATTAATTCTTATTGTCATGGGAGGAAAGTAGGAATTTGGTAAAAAGCATGTTTACAATCAGCAGAGCAAGGAGGATAGTACTTCATTTCATGAAGAGCTCTCACTTCCAGGTATCTAAAGATTTTATTATGGTACAGAGAGGAAGGGCTGGACGGGGCACGCCGGGACAAAACCCAGGCTCCAGGTTAGCAGCGGATTCCCATGCCAATAGCCATGAATGTCCCAAACGTCCCACCACTTTGCATCATCGTTTTGCCAACTCCACCCATCAGCTCTCGTCCTCTCATGCCAATCCTGAGACAAAGAAAAACACAGGAATTATATAAAAGCTGAAGCCTGACAGGTAACAGACATGTAGCAGAAAACGTCTGATACAACGAGCTAATGGTTGTCTGACAACCCAAATCAAACACCTCCTCTTCTGACTGAATTTAAAATGATACCTTCTGCCTCCGCAAGGAGACAGGCTGCGGTGCCCCATGCCTGAGCTACTGCGAACAAAAATGGAGCTGTTCTCTTTGGGGCACTTGAGGGACCCTCGCCAATGCCGTGTATTTTTTCCTGCAGTGGTACCAGCTGATGCTGTACCCCCCTGCACACCTCTAGCAGGAACAGCTTTACCTGCTCGTGCCCCAAATACCTTTAATTTGGGGAAAAAACCCCTACTTGTCCTGTCCAAGTATTTGACTTGCCAGATAATACAAAGGGTCTGAGCATTACCATTCCATCTGGCTGCAGTGGCAGTATTAATGCCACCAACTCAAAACCATGTTGTAAACTAACTTCCTATTTACCACTGACACCGTATTTTTAATGACAGAAACCTGAAAGGTCTGGAAGCATCTAGAGGCATTTCTGTTCTCCAGTTCCCATTTACTTGAGAGGTCAGACCAAAGCAAAAAGAATTGTTCTCAGGAAGCTCTCATAATATTTGGCTTTTAAGCACTGAAATGACTGTAGGGTCTAAGGAATTTCAGGCACTTGATTTTTAAAACATGGAGATTTTGCCTCAAAAATGGTACAGCGGAAGTAATGTAGCTGTGTCATTCAAGTATGACAGAACCACTGTCACTGCTGCTTCTAACTACCCTAAATCTGTATTTTCTGCTAGCACTGTACCACTTACACATCTTCTCCAGAATCTGCCCCATTGCTGAAGGTGTTCAAGGCCAGGTTGGACAGGGCTTAGAGCAACCTGGTCTGGTGGGAGGTGTCCCTGCCCACGGCAGGGCGGTGGGACTAGGTGGGCTTTAAGGTCCCTTACAACCTAAACCATTCTGTGATTCCATGATCTGAGAGAGATCAGAAAACTTTTTAAAGTCTACCAGATTAGACTTTGTGCCTTTTTCTCCATTTAGGCTCACTACCAAATAATCGCCTGTTTAATCACAGATTAAAAACTCTCAAGCAGAAGGAGTTCTGCAAAATATGGAAGAGCTTATTTCAGTAATTCCTTTTCATGCCAAAACCAGCCAGTGAGCAGCGCAAGAGCTAACCTGGAGCAGCGAGTGTTGTTTGTTTCCATGACAGCATGTTCGGGGAAGGTGGAATATTGTCCCTCTCCGATTCACAGTGGGATTGTGGGATTGTGCCAGTGCCAGCCACAGCTCTGCCTGCACTCTTGCAGTTAAGACTTGGGGTCAGTATGGTAATTGCCTCTGTACAGGAGGACGGACACCCAAAGCAACCACGACGTAGATACCCAAGCGTGCCAAGTACCTCAGGAAGTTTTAGAGCGAGGAGGGGGCTGCAGTATCTGTACAGACAATTCATCCAGCTCCTCCTGGAGCTGATCTTCCACAGCCTCAGCTGCCCAACACAACCTCCATTACAGGCTGCAGGAAAAGGTCTCTGAAGCTGCAACCCAGAGGTGATGCCTGCTATCGCTGGCCTTTCCCATTTCAGGTTGCGGTTGAGAGCAGGCTCTGGAACTGTGGCTAATTTGGAGGCACTGGCAAAGTTTCACCTACGTGACAACACAGGACCAGACCTGCACCTCCCTTCCCAATCCCAGAGCAGGAGCATTTCTCTCTGGCTATCGCTCTGTAATGACCTGTCGATGGAAGTTATTTCCTCAGCATACCTGAGACAGGAAAACGTGCCAAACAGCGCTCCTGCAGCCATGCCCACTGCAAAGCCCATCATGAAACCCATCTTTACTCTGTCAAAGCAGCTGGGCTGCGATTGCCCGTATGGGCCCACAGTCACAGGCATCTAGAAAAGAAAACACAAAACCCCACATGGATTTACTGCTTTTTCTAACATGTTTCTACAACCAAACTGGGCTAGAGAGCAGGCCCGCACGTTTCAGAGCCTCCTGTAAGTGTCACACCAGAGGCTCTGCAGGCTTTCACACTTGTTTCCTCGCCTGCCAAGTAGGAAAAGCCCGGGAGGTAACGCCAGTGCCCCAGCCCTGCTCCATAAGTCCTTGTGAGCGCCGCTACGTCTCCGAGAGCAGTTTCAGCACCTCCCGCTGTGCTCTCCAGCTCCCGCCGTCACGTGGCAAAGCTTCCGTCGCCGGGCCCGTCCCCCCGAGCTGCCACCAGCCCCGGAGGCAAAGGAGCGGGGCAGAGAACCATGCCCTTCGGCAATTCCAGGTCGAGGCGGGGGATAGCGCCACAGAGCGCCCCAGCGGCTCCCCCGGGAGGGGCGACCTCCGTCTCC